CTAATTGGAGAGCATGATTGATGACTCTTGGCTATTTTTTTCTTTTTATTGGATGATACACCCAGAGAGGTGAGAGGGGGGAAAGCAGGATCAAGGGTGACAGTGAATTATGTGTCTCAGAGTTGGCTACGCCCAGGCTAATGCCAGACGTAGAATGTTAACTTCAAATAAAATCTTTTTTAGTTTTGGGAGTGTGGCTCGAGGCTCACGATTTAATTGGAGTAACTGGCGGAATCCTGACAAAACTGTCTGCAAGCAAACCACCAAGCTCAGAGAGCACCAAGGACCCCACTGCTCAACTCTTGAGCTACAAAGGTTCTCTTCCATTGGTAAGCCATGCTCCCAGGGAGCAGGAGAACCCGGGGGGGGGGGAGGCGTTTATACCGATAACCCCCCCCAAGAGCTGCCCGAATCTTACCTTTCCCCGTCTTCTCTTTCTCTTCCCGAGACTTGAGACGTTCCAGACTAACTGGGGCTTCTTGCCTCGCTGTGCCATTGGCGAGCGGCAGGGACCCCCGCTTGCGTCTCGAGTGGTAGAGGCCCGGGGCCAGGTCGAGCCATTCGATGTCGCTGTGCACGGAAAGAAAGAGGGGGTTCACGATGCACAGGGCGGCGTCCTCGGACGTCACGCGGATGGAGCACGAGAGGTGCTTGGATTTCAGCAGGTCCCCGTTGGGTTCCATGCAGCTGCCTTCAGCGTCGTCTGAGGCCTGGCCGTTGGTAGGTTTAAGAGGCATCGCCCAGAACGCTGAGGAGGAGGAGAAAAACAGAAACAAAAACTGTTCTATGACATCACATGTTTCATTACCCAACTAGGCAACATCTTCATGCACTGATGATGCTACCTAGTCAGGTAGTGAAATGTCTGCAAGCAAACAACCAAGTTCAGAGAGCACCAGAACCCCCACATACACAACAGTCCTCCTCCTCCTGTTCTCCAAAATGACACCCCCTCCTAGCACTGATGATGTTACTTAGTTGGGTAGTAAAACGTCTGCAAGAAAACCACCAAGCTCAGACAGCACCAAGGACCCCATAGTCATCCTCCTCCTCCATCTCTCTGCATTGGGTAATGAAACATCTGCAAGCTCAGAGAGCTCCAAGCACCCCAGAGTCATCCTCTTCCTCCTTCCCCTCCTCCTCCTCCTCTCTACAAACCACACTCCCTTCTAGCACTGATGATGTTACTTAGTTGGGTAGTGAAACGTCTGCAAGAAAACTTCCAAGCTCAAGCTCAAAGAGCTCCAAGGACCCCACAGTTCTCCTCCTCCTCCTCCTCTCTACAAACCACACTCCCTTCTAGCACTGATGATGTTACTTAGTTTGGTAGAGAAACGTCTGCAAGAAAACTTCCAAGCTCAAGCTCAAACAGCTCCAAGGTCCCCACAGTTCTCCGCCTCCTCCCCCTTCTCTCCTTCTCCTTGGGTCATGAAACATATGCAAGAAAACCACCAGGCTCAGAGAGCACCAAGGACCTCTCCAGTTCAACCCTGAGCTACAAAGATTCCCTTCTACCAGAATCCCTACGGTAAGTCTGGAGTGGAAAGCAAGATCTCTTTCCAAACAAAACGGAACCTTCCACTTTCTCGATAATCGCGTGCATTTGTTCAAATGAACAACCCGCGTTGCAAAATTCCAGAGAGTACAGATATTAAGCAACCCCCCCACCCGATTTGGCAAACTCTCCCCAAATTCCAAAACAGAATGTGGGGTTTTCTCACTCACTTGGGCCCAAGGTGGCAACTGCATCTAAATCAGCTCTGCCAGGAAGGTGAAAGGCATGAGGGATCCTGAGCAAACAGGGCAGGATATCCCTGGAAGAAAAAGAAGAAGAAGAAGAAGCACAATGACAAAAACGATCCCACGACTGGCTGATAATGTCAGGGTTCCAGAAAAACCCAACTTCCATTAAAAACTCCGAGACAGGCATTTTCTCAAAGTTTCCTTTTATATACTGGCACATTTGGGAAATCCCGAATCTGAACGTTCCAGGTTTCCCTCCAATAAGTAAAAAAAATTACAAATCCACCCCCTGCACCCATCATTCCGTCACGTGCCCCAATCAACATCCGTTCCAACTTGAGACATTCCCCTCTACTACTTCTCAGCCAGGTGCAGAGATAACATGACCTTGACTTTAAAAAAAGAATGTTATTAGGTTTAACCACACGCGCTCCATGAAATCCACCCCTCCCATGGCTCAAGAAGGTGGCAGCATGGAAGCTTCTGGTGCTCCTATGGCTTCCAAAGCTGACACCTTGTGGGCCTTCTGCGCTACCTTTTTTCCATTCGTTTACGACTAATTTAGTTATTTAGTACATTTCTGTGCTGGCCATCTCCACTGCAAGGCGACTCCGGGTGGCTTACCAATTATAGAAACAAGTTAAAAATAATTAAGGGAGTGAAAGATTACAACGTACCGTTAAAAAGTAAGATTTTGCACCATGGTGGGTGCTTCAAAGTGGGTGTTCCAAGCATATTCAGGGCATGTGGCCTGAGATTTCTTTCTCACACCTCTTTCCCCAAAGCCTTCTCTTTTGACTTTGAGTTGGGAAGGTCTTGAAATGTTTGGGAAAGGGCAGATGCCAGGAGCTTGCCCTTTGATCTCAGGAACATCTGGCACTTACTGGGTTAATTAAAGTCACATACAGCACCTATAGGTTCCTCCCAGCCCGCTTCAACCCCACAACCTCTCCCTCCCAGGTGCTCACCTGCTCACAAAGTGAAAGCCAACCAGTTCCAAAAGGTTTCTGAAATACAGCTGGGAGCCTTTGAGATGAAGGGCTGCAGATGAGAGGGAGGGAGGGAGGGAGGGAGGGAGGGAGGGAGGGAGAGAGAGAGAGAGAGAGAGGGAGGGAGAGAGAGAGCATTTGTTTA